CCCCGGCAGGCCTCGGAGTCTGCTGAGAGGCACAGGAGGCCGGCCCGCGGCCAGGGGAGCTGCAGGTCTGCAAAAGTGGCAGCTCCTCCAGCCCGGCCAGAAGGGGGACGCGGACGGGCATTTCAAGGGGGCATGAGCGCCTCGGGGCTCACAGGCTGCCCGCCGCCTGTGCTGATGATGTGACTTACGGGACATCTAGGGCTCAGGGGTCCCTGGGTCCAGCCCTTGCACGTCGGCCCTGAGAAGGGCACCAGCTGCCTGGCGCGCCGGCCCCCTACCTTGCTGTGGCTGTGGGAGCTGCCACTGGGTGGAGGGAAGGAAAGCGAGCAGCCAGGCCATGTTGGGACACTTGAGGGAGGCTGAATTCTGTGTGCCTCTTCTTATCTCCAGATCAAGGAGTACCAGGGCCCACCGAGCTACTCCTGCCAGCCCGCAGAGGGCCAAGCCACAAACCGGGGCTGCTTAATACACAGCGCAGCAGGGCCGCCAGAGAGGGGTCAGCACCCCGCCACGCACCGCTGAGCTGGCCGGGCCTCACACGGAGCCCCCCGCCTGCGCCACCGCCCCTTCGCCCTGGCAGGAGATGGCCTCCTTCTCCACCAACCGGCTGACGGTGCGCAGGGCCAGGGGCAGCGCCGTGTTGCCGTCACGGTGGTAGCGGGGCTCAGACACCTCCGCGCTGGGCGTGAAGACAAACTGGGCCACGCTTGGCATCTTCAGCAGGTTCAGCAGCTCGGTGGCCCGGGTGCGCACGGCCGCCGCGTCCGCCTCGCCGTGGGCTGAGCTCATGGCCGGGCTCTGGGCCAGGGTCCTCATTTTGGACAAGAACAGAGAGACCCTGCGGGCGAAGGGCGTGCGGTCAGACGCACTCTGCGCGGCGGGGCCGGCTCCCGGAGCCCCCGCTAGCATGGCCGAGTAGGGTGCGCGGCTCAGAGTGCCCGCACAGCCCAGCCACCCAGCCAGACCCTGCCGCGGACACGCCATCCGCCACTGGGCCCCTCCTCCCGCCCCTAACCAGTACCGAGGGATGAGGTCTTGACTCCGGGAGGCCAGCTTGGTCAGTGTGGTCATGAGCACGGTGATGACCTGCGGCGGACACTTGGGGAGGGCGGCAGAGGGGCGGGACTGGGCGACCTCAAACAGCAGGGCTTCCAGGGCCTCAAAGAACTTGTTGATCTGCTCCACGGTACATCGCCGGTCCCAGGACACTGACAGGTACTCGCCGACGGCCCACACCTGGTCAGGGACCGGCCTCAGCCCGCGCCCAGGCCTCCTCTCAGGGGAGGGACGGGCGCGGGCCTGGCCTTACCACGCAGGTGAGCATGCTCCCTCTGCTCCGGACGCCGCTCGCGCTGCCCACGAACTCCAGCAGCTCCTTCGCCAGCTCCACCACCAGGGAGGGCCGCAGCTGACACAGGGCCAGGAACTGGGCGCTCAGCACCCTGCCCAGAGGAGGGGACCTGGGGCTTGGTCCTCTGGCCAGCCCAGACCACAGCCCCTCAGCCAGAGCAAGGGCCCAGGTGCGGGTGGAAGCACCCGCCGAGGCTGCTCCGAGGAGGGCGAGAGAGTTCTGGTCCTCAGGGAACCCAGCGCCCCGCCAGGGAGGAGGCTGGGCCAGACTCTGCTCAGTCCCGGGCCCTGGGTGAGAGGGTGAACAAGTGCCGATGTGTCGGGCCTTCAGCAAGGGGACAGTGGGAGAGGGACCTTCGAAGGCTCTGTGGAAGGGGAACTGGGCCAGTGCTGAACACAACAGGCTTACAGGAAGAGGGAAGGACACGGAACATTCTGGATTGGTCTGAGGAGTGACCCAGGAAGTGCCAGGGAAGGCCCTGGGGGTGGAAGGATGCACACTGCTGCGGGCCCTGCCTGGAGAGCGGCGCTGTGCTGGCAGAGGGCAAAGCGTGTACCCGAAGCCATGGCAGGCGCACGTGAGGGGCATGCAACCTGGGAGCCCGGCGCTCGAGCCGTAGAGCAGTGAAGCCCCTGGGGCCGGCAGGCACCCACCTGTGCACGCGAGCCTCGTACTGGGGCACCTGGTAGAGCGAGTCGCTTCTCTCTAGAAGCAGCAGCGCCAGCCGGTTGGTCAGGGCCCTGTCAGAGAGCTGGAAGCAGAAGTGCGAGACAGGTTCAGCCCCGTCTCCTGGACGCCACCTTCTGCTGCCTCTGCGGCGCGGCGGCCACTCACGGGCTTGTTCTGGGGGGGGCTGGCGGCCTTCCGGCCAGGACCTTGGCTGGGGCTGCTGTGTGGCTGCTCTCTGACCTGAGGAGGGGCCCTTCTGCCCGCAGGAAGCTGAGGTCCCCGCCAAGGTCAAGGCCAGCGCGGGGGGGGGGGCCTTGCCGTGGGTGTGAGGCAGCTGGCTCACCTGGGCCACCGCCGAGAAGAACACCTGGAGCAGGAGCGGCACAGCCTCGGCGCACTGGACCACTCGAGCACAGCTGGCCATGGGCTGCAGCAGGTGGTGGAGCGGCGCCAGCCTGGGGACAGCACGGCCCACTGGGTGCCCGCGCCGCACCGGGACACGCACCAACGTGCGAGCTGCGCGACTGCACTCGGCCCCCACGGCCCCCCAGAGGGGCCCGGTGGCTCCTACCTCTCGGTGGTCCCACTGGCCTTGGCTCGCAGCAGGTGCTGGAAGAGGCCCTGGAACTGTGGGTCCCGGAAGGCCTCCAGGCAGCTGGGGGTCCGAAGGGAGGCGTCCCAGAGCGGCCTCTCCGCCGACACACTTGGCGACGACCTGTGAGCAGCCCGCTGCCTGAGGCTGGGCTCAAGCCCGGGCCCAGGCACCGGTCAGAGAGGTCGACGTGGCCCTGCCGCCCTCAGAGGCAACAACGATCTGAGAGGGACGGGCCGAGGTCGCCATGACACCACGGCAGTGACCCAGCAACGGGCCTTGGGGCCTGCGCCTGCGAGGTGGGGCGGAGACGAGTGTGTGCGCAAGAGCCACAGGGAGGCCCTCTGCTGGGGAGCCCTGGCACCCTCCACAGCCAGCGGACGTGCGCTGGGTGCAGGGCCGGGCGTGGGACCCAGCTGGGACGGGGCTGGGCGGCGCGGGGCTCACCTGAGCTGCAGGTCCAAGGCTGCCGTCAGACAGGGCAGGTCGAGCAGCGCGTGGAGCATCTCCAGGGCAGTGCTGGCGTCCACCAGCGAGGGCAGCAGCGCCACAAACTCAGAGGTGAGGGGCGGGCTGTTCCAGGCCAGGAACTGCAGGAACAGGACGGCGCTCGGGCAGCCCAGGGGAAGCCGGGCAGCGGGCGGCGTGGAGGCAGAGCGTCCACTGGTGGTGACCCGTCACCTGTCATGGCCCTAAACCCCATCCGGCAGGGTCCCCACCTAGCCTCCCACCTCACTGTGGCCCAGGGGTCTGAAAACACTCCTGGTTTATTCTTTCACAATTCTCTCGGTTGCTGTGTCCGCTTTTGTACTGACAACGCAATCCGTCGCTTCCACCTGCCATGGATGTTTCCTCCCTAATGAAGGGCCTGAATCTCCAGCTGACTTTGAACAGGCTGCCAGGGCGTGCCGCAAAGACACATCAAAGGCCACCACTGAACATGCCAGACAAGGCTCCCGGGTGATAACATCTGTACGCATTCTAGAACAGAACTACAAAGTCAGGCCTTCCCGAGAGCTGGCATGAGTCTTCCCCGACAGCGATGCTGTCATAAGTCACCTAGGGGCATCTCGGTCTCCGAGTCTCCCCTCTACTCCTGCCGACTGGGAGCGCCCCAGGCCCTGGGGTCCCAGCCAGCACTAGCGCGAGGCACCCACAGCGCAGGGGAGCCGGGGCCTGCACAGCCCTGTCCCTGCACCCAGGGACAGCCGGGGAGCCCGAGGGCCCAGGCACAGTCGGCTGTACCTTAAAGAGGTTGGGGAAGCTTGATCTGAGAATGCCCAGGTTCCTGCCAAACAGGTGAAGGTTGTCCCTGCAGAACTGGATGAATTCGAAGGCCAGCGCCGGGCTGTGGAAGAGTTCAGAAGGTATCCTGGTGAACAGGTGCTGGCAGATGGCCTCCGAGTCCACGGCCGCGGCCTCCCCTGAAAGGTGCCGCACGTCAGGGGGAGACCAGGCGGGGCGTCCTCACCTTGGCACGAGAGCCTCTCTGTGGCAGTCAGGCCGCCTCAGCCCACCCCGAGTGGAAGCCACCGAAACATTCTCTGAAAGGCGCATCCAGGCGCCCACTGTGGCGCCCTCAGGAAACCCAGGCAGAGTCCCGAGACCGACAGAGGTGACGTTGGAATTCGCTGCGTAAACGCGACGCAAACCCTCCGGTGCTCACAGCCCACCAGGCACTACCGATCTGCAGAGGGAAGGGCCGGCCTGCGCCGTGCCACCCCTGGCCGGGCAGTGGCGAGGCTCACCGTGGTTCAGGAAGAACTGGGCCACGGGCAGCAGCGCCCGCACGCAGGGGGGGTCCCCACACAGCCGGGCGTGCAGGGCCTTCAGGCAGGGGAGCGTGCGGTACAGGAGGGCGGGGTCCTGCCGGCAGAGCACGTCCAGCACCAGCACAGCTTCTACCAGGCACTGCGGGCCGGGCCGAGCCACTCAGGACGTGCCCGCCCGCCCAACTGCCC